AGAATGTGTGTCCGTATAGGACAAAAATGATTGGGGCCACCCCCTTTCTCTTTCCCTTTCACTTTGCCTAGCCTTGGCCAATATTTTCACCCATGCATGTACCTTGGCAGCGCCATCGCCTTTAACTTCGCCTACAACTGGTTGTGAAGCCACTATATGGAGGTCACCCCTCATAACTGGGACCTCCCCTTCAAGCCCCTGGCCATCCTGGCTTCAGTCGAGTAAAAATGTACCAGCGAAAGATAAGTCGATAGCGTTATAGCAGCGCCAAAGATGTAAAACTTATTTTGTTATTTTTGTAAAATTGTAATGTAATGAAAATGCCTTTTTTTTGTTAAATAAAATCTGTTAAATTTTTGTGTTCTGTTTGTTCTTCTATCCTCTAGCCATGCCATGGTCGACATATAGCTACACGCCTGTAGATGTCTTCATGCCACCGACTGAGCTACCGGAAGCTAATGGTAACCCCCTTTCTGTGATTGTGCAGAAAAGTTGGAATCTTCATTGCATTCCATCTTTTCTGGACTTTTTGCGGAAAGGAAGTGTTACAACCGGATACACTTCTTACAGCTTTGTAATGTACTACATAAAATATAGCGTACCGTATCCGATACCGCTAATGGCCAATAGGTCGATGCGGTTTATTAAATAAAATAAAAAAAAACGTCTTTGTGCAAAAGCCACTGACAGAAATTTTCTAGTAGAATTCTACAGACTATGGTATGCGATAGTCCTACGCGGCGGCCTAATTTCCGAGTGCTGATATCTGCATTGATTTTCACGATATTTAAAATTTGTTCCTCCTACTGTACAGTAACCTGTCTTTCACGAGTGCGAATATTAGTGTGCTGAACACTTCCTGTATCTCTAAGTCTTTGGTACACTTGCACAAATGTCCTTCAATGTAAATAAACACGACGACGTACGCGAACAAAAACAAAACAACACGCCCGATGCTCTGCTCGGCGAAACGAAAAATAATTTATCTATGCAAAACGATAACTAACCACTGTTACCCTTTGCGACGGATTGCCGGTTCGATAAGAGTTATGAATGACCGACGCGCTGTTGCCATGTGTGTTTTAAATATTTAATTTAATGAAACTTACTGACTACAGATTTTGGCTTAACTTAGAAAAACTTAATGCCATTTATTTGATAATTACCCAATTTAAAAACGTTTTAGATCAGATTATAAAAATTAACAAGATTGTGGAGATTGTGGTTGATATAAAGCCATTTAGACAAAAATCTATTGACTCTTGGACCATGGGTCATATGAACTTTTTGGCTTGTTTTGACCTAACCTATTACCCATTCCAATAATGACTATCATAACGTTTACACCCTGAATAAAAGGTAGTTTTCCACGTATAAACACAACTTTTTTCAATATCAAACTTCTATCTGAGATTTTCAGTACAACGTTATTACCATGTTAATGGACGCAATGTCATCTTTAGTAAGGCAATATCAAATTAGTGTCCTTTTTTTCTTTTTGTTACTGCCAACTCATAAATCATACAAAAATGTTGAATAGATATTCTGTGAAAATTACACCAAGACCTCAGCTGTCCAATAAAAAAAACACCTCGCGTCGCTAGAGTTCTAACACAGCGTGACTCAAAAATATTAACTTAGGAGAACAAAGAGAACGGTGGGTCTTCCGATTCGCTATCGAATGACAAACGTATATCTTATAATCCTCCATGTTTGTCTGGCCACAAATAAAACCTCATATGCTTGAAATACTGCCTACTGACGACGGTTCGGCAATGACGGTAGCTTACCTGCATACCTTATTTTTTTAGTTACGAGGTGATAGAACTCAAGCTTCGATAACTCAAGTTCCAAATATGATGGAATAACAATACTCGCCTTTACATCATTAGCAGAGCAGCAATGTACCATTACCCCACTTCTTGCTTGTTTTGCGACACTTGAAGCACTTTTGACATTATTCTGCAGTCAACTAACTGCAGGTGACCTCCATTACCTGGATGTTTACATCTCACCTCATTACCTGCTATATCTCAGACACAACAGTTAAACTGCATATAGGATTTTGGATACAACAATATCATTCCAGGCATCCTGCCAAAAACTGTTTTAACGACGGAGTGACGCTTCTCTTCTATAGTCCGTATTATTTCGACACTACCTAGATGCCTTTTGAACTTAACGTTGCAATTCGGTATTTTTTGGAGGCCAAAAAATTTAAGAGGTATGTTTGTCTGGCCACAAATAAAACCTCATATGCTTGAAATACTGTCTACTGACGACGTTTCGGCAATCACGGTAGCTTACCTGCATACCTTATTTTTTTAGTTACGATGTGATAGAACTCAAGCTTCGATAACTCAAGTTCCAAATATGATGCTTCCTGCTTGTTTAGCGAAACTTGAAACACTTTTGATATTGTTCTGCAGTCAACTAACTGCAGGTGACCGCCATTACCTGGATGTTTAAATCTCTCCTCATTACCTGCTATATATCTCAGACACCACAGTTAAACTGCATATAGGATTTTGGATACAACAATATCATTCCAGACATCCTGCCAAAAACTGTTTCAACGACGGAGTGACGCTTGTCTTCTATAGTCCGTATTATTTCGACACTACCTAGATGCCTTTTGAACTTAACGTTGCAATTCGGTATTTTTTGGAGGCCAAAAAATTTAAGAGGTATGTTTGTCTGGCCACAAATAAAACCTCATATGCTTGAAATACTGTCTACTGACGACGTTTCGGCAATCACGGTAGCGTCCCTGCATACCTTATTTTTTTAGTTACGAGGTGATAGAACTCAAGCTTCGATAACTCAAGTTCCAAATATGATGCTTCCTGCTTGTTTTGCGACACTTGAAACACTTTTGACATTGTTCTGCAGTCAGCTAACTGCAGGTGACCTCCATTACCTGGATGTTTACATCTCTCCTCAATACCTGCTATATCTCAGACACCACAGTTAAACTGCATATAGGATTTTGGATACAACAATATCATTCCAGACATCCTGCCAAAAACTGTTTTAACGACGGAGTGACGCTTCTCTTCTATAGTCCGTATTATTTCGACACTACCTAGCTGCCTTTTGAACTTAACGTTGTAATTCGGTATTTTTTAGAGGCCAAAACATTTAAGAGGTATGTTTGTCTGGCCACAAATAAAACCTCATATGCTTGAAATACTGTCTACTGACGACGTTTCGGCAATCACGGTAGCTTACCTGCATACCTTATTTTTTTAGTTACGAGGTGATAGAACTCAAGCTTCGATAACTCAAGTTCCAAATATGATGCTTCCTGCTTGTTTTGCGAGACTTGAAACACTTTGGCATTGTTCTGCAGTCAACTAACTGCAGGTGACCTCCATTACCTGGATGTTTACATCTCTCCTCATTACCTGCTATATCTCAGACACCACAGTTAAACTGCATATAGGATTTTGGATACAACAATGTCATTCCAGACATTCTGCCAAAAACTGTTTTAACGACGGAGTGATGCTCCTCTTCTATAGTCCGTATTATTTCGACACTACCTAGATGCCTTTTGAACTTAACGTTGCAATTCGGTATTTTTTGTTGGCCAAAAAATTTAAGAGGTATGTTTGTCTGGCCACAAATAAAACCTCATATGCTTGAAATACTGTCTACTGACGACGTTTCGGCAATCACGGTAGTTTACCTGCATCCCTTATTTTTTTAGTTACGAGGTGATAGAACTCAAGCTTCGATAACTCAAGTTCCAAATATGATGCTTCCTGCTTGTTTTGCGACACTTGAAGCACTTTTGACATTGTTCTGCAGTCAACTAACTGCATGTGACCTCCATTACCTGGATGTTTACATCTCTCCTCATTACCTGCTATATCTCAGACACCACAGTTAAACTGCATATAGGATTTTGGATACAACAATATCATTCCAGACATCCTGCCAAAAACAGTTTTAAAGACGGAGTGACGCTTCTCTTCTATAGTCCGTATTATTTCGACACTACCTAGATGCCTTTTGAACTTAACGTTGCAATTCGGTATTTTTTGGAGGCCAAAAAATTTAAGAGGTATGTTTGTCTGGCCACAAATAAAACCTCACATGCTTGAAATACTGTCTACTGACGACGTTTCGGCAATCACGGTAGCTTACCTGCATACCTTATTTTTTTAGTTACGAGGTGATAGAACTCAAGCTTCGATAGCTCAAGTTCCAAATATGATGCTTCCTGCTTGTTTTGCGACACTTGAAACACTTTTGACATTGTTCTGCAGTCAACTAACTGCAGGTGACCTCCATTACCTGGATGTTTATATCTCTCCTCATTACCTGCTATATCTAAGACACCACAGTTAAACTGCATATAGGATTTTGGATACAACAATATCATTCCAGACATCCTGCCAAAAACTGTTTTAACGACGGAGTGACGCTTCTCTTCTATAGTCCGTATTATTTCGACACTACCTAGATGCCTTTTGAACTTAACGTTGCAATTCGGTATTTTTTGGAGGCCAGAAAATTTAAGAGGTATGTGGAAGTGCGATCGCTAATTTTTGTATGTCTAGACGTTGGTGCAGAATTGTTATACCGGCACTTATTTCCTGTTTACAACAATTTTGATGAAAAGATGAAGTTTCTGGATTTATGAAAAAATGATCTGCAATTACCAATCTGCACCTCGCATATTTATTCGTAATAAAACACGTTTTTCTGGATACGAACCGATGAAACGTTTTCAAAAGGTGAGAGACCTCCATTTCTATGGTTATGTTAAATGAGGATAATTAAACAAAATAATCGGTTTACTGTACTCCCAAAGAATCTTTATTTGTTTGTATAAAATAAACACATTTCAACACAAAAATATACAACGATTTAAGCAATGACTTACAGAATAACTACTGCGCTCTGAATTTTATCGGCAGTGGTCTAAATTGAAACATCAGAGCGGCAGCTTTTTATATTATATCCGTAAAGTATCACATAACGAAAAAACGTAAATTTCGCAACTGGTAACTTATAAGGATCACTTAACTTATCACATACAAGAAAACCGTAAAATATTTGCAATCGTATATCAGCAAAAAAGTGATGTTTTATTAGCAATCTAACTCTACATATATTAAGCTGGAATAAGCTATCAAAGGAAGGGTAGATCTAAAAATGTGCCACGAGACGGCAGTAGGATTTTGTCTCCTGTATTAGAAATGTACTTTTTTGGAAAAAAAATCACCCATCATTGGTTATGATATGAGGTGCATACATCCTAAATGAAGGCGATTTCTATTATACTTCAACATGTTATATACTAGTCCCCAGCCTCAAACTAAAACGTACTGATAAGAACACAATAATGTGCAGCTTACTCGCAGATCAAGTTGTAAAACACTCTCAAACAGCTACATTTTTAAGCTTAAAACGCTAAAGATATAAGTATCGTAACGAGGGATACTATGTATTCAGTCAAGTTTGAAACTTTTCTTTTTGTCTACAGACATCACAAATAGGAATAAATGCGTACCTAACTAGCTTTCAATGTGGCGTCGGGATCTACTTCTCCATCTGATTCATTCAGCAGTCTTTCCTTATTAGGTTTCTTGCCCTCTATTTCTTCCGCCAATCCCACGAATATTTCTCTGAATACCATGCTGTCTAAATTCTTCGCAAGGTAGCTCAGGAATAGCCAATCGGAGAAATTACAGTGCCTGTGAAACCAAAATTAACTCGGATCAAATTTCACAGCTCATAATTTAACTATTCCGAGTCCAGAGTGACGGATTCAAATCCAAACAAATTCAGTTTCACTGGAACGTGCTGTAACCAAACACCAAAATGGATAACATAATCACACATTGCATTAGCAGTGGCTCGCGATGAGTTATTCTCTTCTATTTTGGTACTTGATTATTCCATCCTCGGAATCGGTAGAGAATTTTAGGTGAAATTTTAATGGACAATATTAATCACAGGAAGTGTTTCGAAACGTCATATTTTGCACTGTATTCTGAATTTTATGTTGTTGTTAAGGTACTGTCAGATTAACGAAATTTTCACGTAAGCAAATCCAGTTTCATATGCGCTACAAAATACCCACATTCATAGACCATTTGAAGTTTTATCTCACAAGGGACGGGTGCGATCTTGGGAATTCAAGCTCAATCAATTCGAAGAAAGGGATGTTTAAAAATTCAAACAGCTTATACAGGGTGTTTCAGTTTATTGTTGCATAACTTTAAGATTCGATAGAACTTTTAAAATTAATGCATAAAGTCTATATAAACATGGGTCGAAAAATGCGTGGCTTCCGAAAATGGTTTTTTTTTAAATATTTCGAATAATATTTGATGTATAACAGTGAAAATTGATATACAAGGGTTTTTTGGTACGACAAAACGAACCATGGGCATAGTTTTACCGTAGCCGCTAGAGGGCGCTCTCTTCTGTACCTGTAGTGTATTGAAATGCCCGAAAAAATTTTCTTAGTGCAATTTTTTGCTTTTTGAATAAAAAAACTGATTCTTCGCACTTTTCAACATAGAAAAGCTCTCTTGTGAATTTTCGTTATAGTTAGAAACTGGCTGGACGAAAATTATTCAGAAAGATGGATCGGCCGTGGAGGACCAGTCGCCTGGCCTCCACGATCCCCTGACCTAAATCCATTTGATTTCTTTGTGTGAAGATTTCTAAAAGAAAAAGTGTACCAGACTCCCGTAACCACAAGAGATATGCTAATAGACAGAATCAGGAATGCATGTGATGAAATAAGGCCTTATTTGAATAATGCTATACCACGTTCGATCATTCGTAGATGTGAATTGTGTATTGAACAATTGGGTTTACATCTCGAGCAACTACTTTAGACTTTGTATGTTTGTCCTAACTATCCAATAGCATTTTAGTTGTAAATAATTAATTTAATTCGTTAAAAATAATATTTATTCAAAAAGCAAAAAATTGCACTAAGAAAAAAATTTCGGTCATTTTAATACCCTACAGGTACAGTAGAGAGCGCCCTCTAGCGGCTACAGTAAAACTATGCCCATGGTTCGTTTTGTCGTACTAAAAAACCCTTGTATACCAATTTTCACTGTTATACATCAAATATTGTTCGAAATATTCAAAAAAGACTATCTTAGAAAGTAAATTTAAACACCCTGTATTTCGGAAGCCCCGCATTTTTCGACCCATGTTTATATAGACTGTATGCATTAATTTTAAAAGTTCTATCGAATCTTAAAGTTATGCAACAATAAACTGAAACACCCGGTACACTGGCAAGGGCTTTGAGTGTTAGCGGCAAAATAGCTCAGTTTTTAATAAAATTTTTCGATTTGCTTGGTACGCTGCGAAACTTTCTGAACTTTTTCCACAAAGCTGAGATTGGATTAATATTTGTATTTGGGCTTAATCCAATTTTAGAAAATGTGTACCGCATTCCCCACAGAAGTATATCATCAAGAATTGAAAGTAATACCAGAAGGTTGGACTAGTTTTTTGAATAAGGCAAGTGGACCATGTGATCATTTTTCTCGATTTTATAATTTTTTATAAGAAAGCAGCCACGTAGGTAGAAGCCTAAATACCAGGACACCTATGAGGTGCTCAAAGAAACTTTGGTAATCCAATTTTAGTAAGAAGCTTTGTGATATGGTTGCTTTTGACGTTAAAAATGCCTTTAACGTGGCAGAACATCAGAAAATCGTCGTATCTCTCGAGAAGCCAGTCATCCCTAGCTACTTATTGAACATGATAAAGAGCTACTTTCATAAGACGGTACTTCCCAACTAACAATTATCATTCATATTAGAGTTGCAAGAATGATTATACAGTATTCCTTAAACAGCATTGTATACTGTAAGAACATTGGCAAAACCCTCTTAGAACAGCTATACAAGCGGAATGGGCACACCTAATAGGACACTTCAGTCATTTAAGAGGTTGTATAAGGGCTGCAGGTAACAATTATACAACAAAAGTGTAAGCCCCTTGCAGCCGCTATAGGACATTTGCGTCAGTGCAAGATTCAGTTTTTGTCAACTACACAACTATTCTGTTACGTGATTCTACTTTATTGCAACCAAACTATTTCTTATGTATTGCATAGACGAAGTGAAGAATATATAACTAACACATTACTGTCATCTTGTTTACTTACATATCGGCCATTGTGAATTTCATACACAGGTATATTATGATAACTTCTACATTGTAATATAGGGCTATTGAATTACTTGCGCAGCAAATTTTATTGTGATTATCGTGCAGATTAGCTATACAATTTCTACAGGCTTCGTATTTGATTCATATTTTGTCAATGATCAAAAGTATGTCTAGATTTTTAAGATGGAAAACTGAACTTATCTGAGTTAAATCTTCCACAAATCCTATATTTTGACACAATAGCACTAATTTTTATCACTTTATATCTGTAATTTCGAACTGAAACATAATTATTTAATATTAAATAGAGGAATAAATCTTTGCCCAATATGGCGGGTGGTTGTGTACCATCATGGCATCGTCCATGTTGTCTTTAGGTTATTAGAATATTTTGGTGTTGCCTGCAGGTGTTATACAACAATTTGGCAAATGTCTGAAATGAAATACCGACAGAGTCGAATGATTTACCCGGAATTTGTACCAGATCTATATCTTCTGTTTGAACAGTTGATAAAACCTTTTAAACCAATATGCATGCGTTGTTTGTCTTAAAACATTGGTTATGGCATTTTAACAAAAATATGACAGCAGAATGTTAGGTTATGTTGAAGTTGTTTACCAACATATTTAGCATATGTACAGCCTTTAACAGTTACTAAACAACAGTAGTAAATTTGCACAGCAAAACAACAAGCCTCGGGTTTGTTTTATAAACGTTACCATGGATGTCACAACACAACCATTTTGACTAACCTGCAAATATGCCGTTGTATAAACGTTTATGCAACAGTTAAAAATTTGTCCTACAAGGTGTTGTGTAACCATGCTATAAGAATATTTTAAACACCTCATTTTAGAGCAAATATGTTGCAGAAAGCAAATTTGCATTCCACACAACATTAAGCCAGCATTTTTGTGTTCAGGCAACAACAATAGAGAGCTTTTATGGCTGAACGGTTCTTTTACCGAAAGCTTATAGCATTACTTTGCTAGTTGGGTAGTTTTTTGAATAAGGCAAGTGAACCATGTGATCATTTTCCTCGAGTTTATAATTTTTTATAAGAAAGCAGCCACGTAGGTAGAAGTCTAAATACCAGGACACCTATGAGGAGCTCAAAGAAACTTTGGTAATCCAATTTTAATAAGAAGCTTTGTGTTATGGTTGCTTTTGACGTTGAAAATGCCTTTAACATGGCAGAACATCATCCCTAGCTACTTATTGAACATGATAAAGAGCTACTTTCATAAGAGGGTACTTCCCAACTAACAATTATCACTCATATTAGAGTTGCAAGAATGATTATACAGTATTCCTTAAACAGCATTGTATACTGTAAGAACATTGGCAAAACCCTCTTAGAACAGCTATACAAGTGGAATTGGCACACCTAATAGGACACTTCAGTCATTTAAGAGGTTGTATAAGGGCTGCAGGTAACAGTTATAAAACAAAAGTGTAAGCCTCTTGCAGCCGCTATAGGACATTTGCGTCAGTGTAAGATTCAGTTTTTGTCAACTATACAACTATTCTGTTACGTGATCCTACTTTATTGATACCAAACTATTTCTTATGTATTGCATAGATGAAGTGAAGAATATATAACTAACACATTACAGTCATCTTGTTTACTTACATATCGGCCATTGTGAATTTCATACACAGGTATATTATGATAACTTCTACATTGTGATATAGGGCTATTGAATTACTTGCGCAGCAAATTTTATTGTGATTATCGTGCAGATTAGTTACCACCCAATTTCTACGGGCTTCGTATTTGATTCATATTTAGACACAATTACACTAATTTTTATCACTTTATATCTGTAATTTCGAACTGAAACATAATTATTTAATATTAAATAGAGGAATAAATCTTTGCCCAATATGGCGGGTGGTTGTGTACAATCATGGCATCGTCCATGTTGTCTTCAGGTTATTAGAATATTTTGGTGTTGCCTGCAGGTGTTATACAACAATTTGACAAATGCCTGAAATGAAATACCGACAGGGTCGAATGATTTACCCAGAATTTGTACCAGATCTATATCTTCTGTTTGAACAGTTGATAAAACCTTTTAAACCAATATGCATGCGTTGTTTGTCTTAAAACATTGGTTATGGCATTTTACAAAATATGACAGCAGAAAATTAGGTTATGGTGAAGTTATTTAGCATATGTGCATCCTTTAACAGTTACTAAACAACAGTTGGATAAGTGCTTCCGTTGGGAGCAATTTGTTGGCTAATGTAGTAAATTGCACAGCAAATCAACAAGGCTCGGGTTTGTTTTATAAACGTTACCATCGATGCCACAACACAACCATTTTGACTAACTTGCAAATATGCCGTATAAAATAGTTGTATAAACGTTTATGCAACAGTTAAAAATTTGCCCTATAAGGTGTTGTATAACTATGCTATAAGAATATTTTAAACACCTCATTTTAGAGAAAATATGTTAGAGAAAGCAAATTTGCATTCTACACAACATTAAGCCAGCATTTTGGTGTTCAGGCAACAACAATAGAGAGCTTTTATGGCTGAACGGTTCTTTTACCAAAAGCTTATACCACTACTTTGCTAGTTGGGTTATGGTAGGGCAAAAGACGATGAAGGGAACCATGGGAGTGCCGCAAGGCTCCGTCCTAGTGCCGTTGCTTTGGAACGTGTTCTACGGTTACAGATGCTGCCGGGAATTTGCTTGATACTTTATGATGATAGTGACTGGCAAGGGGCGAGATACGCTTTAAAGTCTCTTGACAAACGGAATCTTGAGAATTACCATATGGATGGAAGGAAATGGCTTGAAATCGGCTCCTGAGAAGACGGAAGTGAAAAAACTACCCATGAAATGCAATGCACAGGCTTACTGGAAATATCGAGATAAAACTGATTTTTTTTAAATCTGGAAATGGTGGTGAAAATATGAAATTCCTACCGAAATTTCTACATACCTTGTGACGGTGAGCGTATCCCAAGGATTCAGTTTCCCAGGAGAGTTAACGCCGAACACCATCCTGTTGAATTGCACGCTCCTGGCGTGTAGTGCCAAAGTGAGGAACCTCCATAGTACCGCTGCCAAAGAGGCGATGAACAGGAAGAGAAACCAAAACCAGAGAGCGACGTAGATCTTTTCGTTAATGATGTTCAGAGCCATGACGCACATTGCGTCGTGGAGCTGGATGGATCCCGAAGGGCCGTATTTGTGGAAGGTACATTTCGTTATCTGGAAAGAAAGTGTGATTTTAGAAGAATATTTCAGACAGCGGGCTACCTGGATGTGTTAGCGCTTCCTTTCCTAAGATTTTCTAGATACCGCTTTGTTCTGTAGCTTAATATACTAAGTGACATATAAATACGAACACCCAGTTTAAATGGTTTTATTTTAATAAAATTTTGTATAAGTACTTAATGAAGCATAATAAGTAAATGATAAAAATTTCAAAATGATTGCACTGCTTTAAAGCCCTTTGACCTTTAATAATGTGTGGATGCACTCTGATGTGCTACGCATTCTCCAACGCGCCTAGGCATGCTTCTGATCAGGTGGTCAATGTCCTCCTGTGGTATCTCATTCCAGGCAACCACCAACTCCTCTCGAAGTGCTTCTAGAGTCTGAGGAGGACGTTGCAAATTGAGCAATCTCCTACCCATCATATTCCACACGTGCTCAATTGGGGATAAATCGGGAGATCTTGGTGGCCATGGTAACAATGTGACATCATTATGTTGAAAGAAGTCTATTGTGACTCTTGCAACATGTGGTCGGGCATTATCTTGTTGGAAAGTTGGATCTGCCAGGGTGTCAAGACAGGGTAAAAGATGGGGTTCTAGAACTTCGTGGATATAACGCTGCGCATTCATGTTACCTCTGATGAAGATTAAAGGTGACCTGGAACCATAAGCTATAGCACCCCAAAAAATAACTCCAACAGTGTGATGAACATGTCTTTCAACAAAAAACTGTGGATTCCTCCTTTCACCACGTCGCCTTCTAACCCTGGCACAACCATCGTGCATGCCTAAACAAAATCGAGACTCGTCACTAAAGACAATACTGTTCCATTCCTGATCCCAGAGTGACCATTGTCTGCACCACTCAAGGTGATAACGTCGGTGTTCTCGAGTTAAAGGGAGGACCCAGTGTGGCCGGTATGAAAACAAGCCAAAACTTCTCATTCGTCGGTAAACACTTCGCATGCCAACAGGTCTTCCGTGTTCTGGTAGAGGAGAAGCGGTCCCTTAAGGCCAATAATCTTAGGCGGCGATCTTCATGGTCTGTTGTTCTACGGCAGCGTCCAGTGCCCCTTGCTCTTTGCGTACGGCCTTCTCGAAGCCATGCCTGACAACACCTAACCACAGTGTCTACACTTCTTTGTACTCTAACTGCAATTGCCCGAAAAGAAAGTCCAGCTTCCCGAAGTCCCACTATACGGCCCCTATCAAACTCACTAAGTTGACGAAATCGTACAGGTCTCCGTACTCTAGGCATCGTAACCGATCGTAAAGGATGTCAAGAACCAAAATCCGCCAACGTTGATTCTTTGCTGCGGCTGAAATATTCATTTTTAGAGCGTTAGTGAATTAAAAAAAAGCAGTATAAAAACCGGAATGTCCAACTGATAAGGCTGAAAATTTTTTCACTTGTTATTTACAGTAAGATAAATACATTCACCAACTTTTATTAAAATAAAACCATTTAAACTGGGTGTTCGGTTTTATATGTCACTTAGTATATATAGGGCTAATGTAACTGAAACTTATCTGACAGATCGCTTGGGTATTGAAAAATATTTTGAGTGGCATTTTGTGGACGATGAATATATGGATATTGAGTTGAAATTTGAAGAGCTCCTACGTGTTGTTGTTGAGGATCATTGTCTACTACAAAAACTCGAGTCTTCCAACGAAATTGAAACAGCGATTAAGAACAATGGTTTGATAACAATCTACGTTCGATGAGGGAAAATTTAAATTTCTTGATGGATCTGCACATAACTGATGAATCTGTTGTAACAAAAACAGAAAATAAATAATCTAGAAGTCAAATATAGAGAAGTCACCACTAAACGTAAAAAGGACGCTAAACTATAGGTATGTCAATACAGCTAGTAATAAGCAACAGGCAATGTAGAACATCGTCAATACGTATTTCACAAACGTTGCCCAAAACCTACCGTCTCAAAATACATCTCCTTTAATATACCTAGGCAGTCCCAGTAATTTAGTTTTCCGCGAAATTAGCATCAACACAGTAAGAGAGAAACAGAGATTTGCTCTTTGAAAAATTCTAAAACTTCTGACATTCAGAACTGCAACAGTAGGATTGTGAAAACGCTATTAAATATTTAGTTCAATTTCTGCATTAAGTCAAATACGAGTAAGTTTCCGGCTGCCCTTGAGATAGTCAAAATCGTTCCAATTTTCAAACATCCGCTGATGAAACATCGAACGACCGCCCAATCTCTATCGTTGCTTATTTTGCAAAAACTTTTGAAATGCTCCTTAAATAGCAACTAAGTAATTATCTGGAAATTTTTTTAAATCCCTGTCAATATGGATTCAGACACAGTTTGTCGACTACATCTGCTATAAACAACATTATCGATATAGTTAATGAAGGTTTTGAAAATAAACAATTTATAGGTGCTAATTTTTCTGACTTTTGACTGCGTACAGTACGATATTCTTCTCTCGAAGCTACCATTTTACTCCTGCGTTCCAAGTAGCACGAGTATACTGTTCTTGCAATCCTACCTAACCGATTCGTGGAATACAATGGCTGTAAATCCTCAATCAGCCCATGCAAACCGCATGGTGTTCGGCAAGGTTCTGTCCTCGGCCCTCTGTTATTATTATCGTATGTAAATGGCTTGCCCAATTGCATTTACAACAATACTAATAACATTCTATACGCCGATGACACCAATCTCTTTTCCAATGGTTTGCAATTAATAAGTTAACAGTTAATTCCAACAAAACTCAATCCATGACCTTTATTCTACAGAATCATGAGGTTGGTAATAACTATGTGGATGTCTGTGTTAAGTTTCTTGATATATGGTATACATAAATGCTACTTTAAACTGGGATGAACACATTAGTTATGTTATCAAATCATTAACAGAAATTATTTATTTAATTCACAATCTTAAGAATTATTTATCCCAAAAAATTTGTTATCCAGTACCATGCATATTTTTATAGCAAAATGACATATGCTATTCTAGCATGGGGTCATTTACCACATATGTATATATACTAAGTTTTTGCTGTACATAGGTGCTGGTACATAGCAACCTGAAGAGCAAATATCCTTGTAGGGAGGAATTCATACTAAAGATCATGACTTTGCCTTTTGCTTACATTTATTATTTTATTATTACCTCACTTATGTCAAGACTAACACTCACGAATATGCAACGCACTACTACTACTAACGGGTGTTTTTTTAAGAGGTATAGGATTTGATTTTCAAAAAAACACAAAAAATTTGAAAAAACGATTAAATCTTTATTTGAGTCGATAGAACGGTCGATATAATTTAATGTTTAAAGATTATTTCATGTAAATGTAAATGTTAGTAGACATTAGCCTTAACATAGCCCCACAAGAAATAGTCCAACGGCGTTAAATCACACGATCTAGGCGGCCAATTGACGGGCCCCAAACGTGAGATAAACTGTTCACCGAACTCGCCTCTCAATAGGGCCATTGTTTCGTGTGCGGTGTGGCATGTGGCACCGTCTTGTTGAAACCACATGTCAGCCAAGTCCAGCTCTTCCATTTTGGGCAAAAAAAAGTTTGTTATCATCGCACGGTAGCGCTCGCCATTCACAGTTAGGTTCCGGCCATTGTCGTCTTTGAAGAAGTACGGCCCGATGATGCCACTGGCCCATAATCCACACCAAACAGTGATTTTTTCGGGATCCATTGGTAGCTCTTGCAATGCTTCTGGCTTGTCTTCACTCCAGATGCGGCAATTTTGCTTGTTAACTTACCCATTCAACCAGAAATGAGCTTCGTCGCTGAACACAATTTTTCGATAAAAATGTGGATCTTCCTCCAACTTTTCCAGCGCCCATTCACCAAATTGGAAACGTTGTGGGAGGTCCTGTAGCTTCAATTCTTGCACCAGCTGTATCTTATAAGGTTTTACACCCAAATCCGGTCGCAAAATCTTCCACGTAGTGGAGTAGCAAAGGCCCAATTGCTGCGAACGGCGGCGAATCGACATTTCACGGTCATCACTAACACTGGCGGATACAGCCGCAATATTTTCTTCAGCCCTCACTCTACGTCTGCGTTCTGGTGGTTTAATGTCCAATAATGTAAACTGGGTTCGAAATTTAGTCACAAGCTCCCTCAGTAGGCCGACCAAATTGCCCATAAATTTTAAGCAGTGCTCGATGCACTCTCTTAACCGAGCAGGGATTTTGATAGTAAAATTCAATAATTTGCAAGCGTTGTTTGTTCGTGAGTCGATTCATGGATAAATTATAGACCAAACAAGTTTGACAATGACACAAGACACGATTCACGCGTCATCTGTCAAAAACAGTGTTGCCAAAAAGATACTAGCAAAAAAATCACCCATTGCATAAAACATCCCTGAATCAATAAAACGATGCTCTTGATAGTGTTTTTTTTTATATCGAAGCAGCCGCGCAGGCAGAAGCCTAAAAGAAATTTTGTTAACACGATTTTTGAACTGCCTAAGGTTAGTAGAACTGGAAAAAGCTTCCTCTTGTAGATTGCTCCAGAATCTCGACACCCTCGAGGCAAAGGAGCGGTCGTATCGGCCAGTTATGGATGTACGAAGTTCGACACGGTTAGGGTCGGACGCCAAAGTCAGGCGGGTCTGTCTGGCAGGCACATCGCGCGGCGGCATCATGGAACAGAGCTCACATACGTGAATTTATGTCTTATGACTTCCTGAATTTGACATAGCCTTTTTATTTATTTTCTACCTTGTTAGTCATCGTATTCTGCCTTTGTTTATCTTATTTAAAATGTATCGTTTGTCATTTATCACTATGTCGTTTTATATATCTTTATATATTGCTCTGACCTGAGCAAACACCAATAAACTATTATTATTATTAATCATATCAAACATTGCATTTTACAGACATCTCTTACCATTTCCGAGATGTCAATGTATTTTTATTACCAAGCTACTGATACTGAAGTTAGCTATTCAATTACCAAATCACCACGTTTTTA